ATGTATATTGTTATTTTTTTATAGAAATGTATATTTTGCTTGTCTTTATAAATCTTTTTTTGACATTTCTTATTTATATTAGTGCACCGCCAATAATCTTTCTCTGCACCACTCATGGTTGCCTGGTAAATAACGCGGCAAAATATTAAGTCCGCCACATGTACAAATTTTTTTGTGCATTAAAGTTAAATAAATAAATAAAAATACACTACTGTTTAATGAAAATGCGTATTGTCTAGTGCTTTGAGATGTATCAAAATAAGGTCAACAAAAAAGTCCGTGATGGTATATGTCTATCTCTTAAGGATAACCAAAAATAACCATTTTTTATCTTTTACATTTTACGGGAATTTTTTTTATCGTATGTTTCCCTTAAAATCATGTAAACAATGTTATTATGTCATAATCTAAAGAAATAATAATATTTTATAGTGATATATCCATTATAAAATACCAAAAAGTAGCAATGTAATTCGTTACGCGCGAATCAGCTGTTATAAGGTCAAAGGGCGGTGCACCCCGCGTATTTGATAAATAGTGCTTCTCTGGATGTCTTTAAGAGAAAATGGCAGTATGTACGTGTATATGTACAAGTCCTTAAGTGTTAAGTTTTTCAAATGAAAGAAGAATAAATATTTTTAAGTACAGTACTTACGTACATTAATATAATACCTACTTTTTACTTGTATCTATTGTTATTAAAATTAAATTATAAGTTCTTAACTTGACCACGACTATGTGACCCTCTCTTGGCGCCAAAACGAGTGAAAAAATGAACAGCATACGACGACGACGCAGTACCTATAGAGTGGAGCAACTGCTTATTCAGTTTTATTCAACTATTTAGTCCCTCCACCGTTACAATGAATGGAGGCGGATATTACAATGTATGTAGCATTGCGAATATAAAATATCTAGATTAGGTATAATAAATTCATAATTGATAGGCCGTTACGGTATCAGAGCCAAAAAGTCTTCTTTCTTTGTACTGTTAGATGCGACAGCGACTTTGTTTTATACTACACTATGTAATGATTGATATACCTAAAATAAATAAAATATCTGAGGTTTGGACAAAAATTCAAAAGGTACTTTATTTTGAAAAAGTATTTTGAAAATACCTATTTTGCATTTAGTATTTGAAATACAAAACACAAAACTATTTTTGTTATTAGAGTGACATTTCTATGAATTCACTGTCGATAGCGAGGGGTGCGATGGAAAAAGATAACCGTTTATAAAAATATAATAAATAGCCCTGGACAATTAACACAGACTGATACTGAACTGATATAAATAGATATTTTTATTTTGTAAATACATATAAAACACCCAGACCGATGAAAACAATCGATGACCGATGAGTACAAATGTTTGCACCGTGCGAGAAATCGAACCCGCGACCATCGGATGTAAAGCGGTGTGACCACCGAGGCAGTCGAAATATATAAATAATCTTATGAATTTAATTTATTCTAATTTGTTTGTGTGCGCGGGGTGCGGTGTACGGTACTCCCCCCTGCCTCCACCGTTGCTGGAGCTTGCATGTATGGAGCATTGCGAATATAAAATATCTAGATTAGTAAATTCATAATTGATAGACCGTTACGGTATCTATATATATTCGGATTAAAATAAGTATCGCAGTAAGGACCAGTATATAAAGTGATCAACACAATTAATTGATTTTTGAAATATATATACAGAGCCAAAAAGTCTTTGTGTATTCAAAAAATATCTAATTTGTTTGTGTGCGCGGGGTGCGGTGTACGGTGCTCCCCCTGCAACGCACAGTGGGAACTCGCCTAAGAAAGCCATCTCATAAATACTTTTTCTAAAACTCCGTGGATGTGCATGTATAATACCTCAACTTGTAGCCAAAGAGTTACTCTATCATTATAAATATGATTCAAATCTCTGACTATTCATACTTCATAGAATAGAGCCTCTAAAGTCAAGGAATGAAAAAAATACAAAAATAATTTTGTAACTTAAATTTGTTTAGTATAAGTTTATAGTATCAAAACAATATCAAGTCATATAGTGTGATACCATTTTAGAATCCTTGGAATGTGTACTTTACTATAATATAAAAATATATTTAGTTTAGTCGAATATTATTTAACTAAAAATCCATATATCGTTATATATATATATTTTCTTTTCTCAGACTACTATATTTGACATTGCCACAGCTTGCCGAAGTTCTAAATTTGGTTTTATTTATTAGGAAATATAATTTAATTTGATGGCATAACATTTTTTTTTGCAGTTTCACTGCGTAAAATATTTAAATCGAGTATAATATCATGGTGAGATTTGTTTTTTCTAAGTACGTATATTAAGATTTTCTTCTTTATTTGAGATTCTCTGTCTGAATACTCAAAAAAATACTTTTTGCTCAATTATTACTTTATATTTTATCTATTGCCTTACTTTTATCAACTATTTCACACAGTATATAGTTCCCATTCCCATACAGACCTATTCTATACCGCATAATGATAAATATTTTTTATCAAGTAATTTTGCACACGTATATGATCATTATCAAGTATAAAATAGTGTATGTATTTGCATATGAAATATTACAGTTCTTCATAAGCATTTGTCATTACTAAACAATTGTTAATTACTCATCTCGCCCCAATGAGTGAATTCTCGTGTACCAGAGGCGACTTAAGTCTCTTATTGATTTAAAGTTATACAAATTATGTTGATTCTATCTCAAACTATATACGAAATAATTTTACCGAATCTTCAGATAGCCAATATAGCAAAAATTATCGCAAGTATTTAGAAGTCCTTCATAACTCAGTTTCGTCAACGCTATACGAAATGTGGTCGAAAGAAAGAACAGTTTTTAAATAAAATAGCAATTGATAGGATGGTATTTTCACTGTAAATCTAGAAAAAACTACATGCGAACCTACACCTCCTACTTCGACAGAGAAAAAGAGGAAGACCTTCTAAAACGTACGAAGACAGTTCGGACAAAGAAACGGAAAAACAAGGGATTGCTTGATACCTGTGGACTTCATACTGAACTCATAATATGTACAGGGTTTAAGGGTTTCATCGTTGATATTTTACGAGCATTGCCGGCAGAAAACTAGAATGAAATGAGCAATCTTAATGAGTAATCTTATTAATGAACCGGCACATATAGCAGCATATTCAAAACATTAAGCTCTTAGCATGTTCATAAAATTGGATCTGAACAAGGCACAGTATAAAAATATGAGGAGTTGTTTGATAGCAACACTAATGACGGCAATACAGCCAGAAGATTTTTCCAAAATTATCATTGTACATTAAATATCACTGGTATATATGAGGAATTAATAAAACTGTTATGTTATGAAATGAAATGTGAACGTGTGACACGTCACTTTTCTGTCTTGCCTCTCGGGCAAGTTTCAGAAGATGCTCAAGAGTTACGGAACAAAGACTATAAACAGTTCAAGCTTCATCATGCAAGACAATGTTCGAGGGTAGCCTCTAACAAAGATGTTCTACACGCATTTTTATATACCTCTGACCCATACATAACAAGTTTAAGAAAACCTTCAAATTAAAAATATTTAGCACTTTTTGATGAAGCAAAGGAGCTCTTGAGTGACTTGTAAGCCATCTTTATAAGAATTTTTGTTTTTTACGTAGATACTTTTACTTATTTCTGTATAAACTTCTTAGGACATAAATGTAAGTCTACAAATTCTATATTTCTTGTATTCCTACATTATTTATAACAATTAGAAATATTTTTTTACTCACAAAGCATACATTATTTAAAAGTATATATATTTAAGATTATCAGGAAAAAAAATCATGGACATATCTTTATTAATACAGAAGTTATAGATTTATGAGATGAAAATGAGTCAAAGTTCCCACTGTGCAACGGTGGAGTTACTATGTATGGAGCATTGCGAATATAAAATATCTAGATTAGTAAATGAATAAATTCATAATTGATAGACCGTTACGGTATCTATATATATTCGGATGAAAATAAGTATCGCAGTAAGGACGAGTATATAAAGTGATCAACATAATTAATTGATTTTTGAAATATATTCAGAGCCAAAAAGTCTTTGTGTATACCAAAAATTTAGCCGTTCGGAGCCAGTCATGCACGAATTATTAGTAAAAAATGTGTCGAGTATATCGTACTATCGACGAATATATATGGCCACATCGCAAAATAGAATGCGACGTTGCCATACCGCCTGAGATATACGCGATAGGAGTCAAGTTATTCAGTGCAAAAGGTGGAATCAGCAAGTGTTTAGGTTGTGGCGTGATCAACAAAGTGCCCAAAGAGGTGTTTATATATATATATATATATATATGTAATTATTTCTTTTCTTATTCTTCATACAAAATCTTCTTTATTCTTTATACAAAAGTCAAATCATATATTGTCTATATTATTATACGGGGAGTATTGTATCTCACGAAGATTCCTTTATTAAACCCTTTCGATAGTCTGGGTTGTTTAAAGCATACTGGACTTGATTACTTGTATTTTATTGTAATTTTGTTAATCTGTACACACTAATGAAATGGACCGTCCGGATAAAATTAGTTAGTAGCGATAAATTGCTCTATATGGTAACCCTGTAGCGAGGCAACAGCCAACAGTATTGACATTGACGACTTTATGTAGTCCCACAGAATATTTATAAAATAAATAAATAAAAAAAAGAAAAACTCAAAATATTTTTTATATCAAAAATATAAAACGAATTTCCAAATATGGCACTAATAGAAGTAGAAATTAAGTAAAGTTAGGTTATTTTATAAATATTGCGTTATAGTTTAATTATGTTTATTTTAAGTAAAATTCCTTTCCATATTGGTTTAAATCCCATCACCCAGAGTTGACACCGGGGCAAAGGAGTTTGCCCTCCAGGCCCCAACTTACACCTTATGCACCTTATGTCACTGTCAATCTTTCCTAAACTGTGCTACATTCAAAGTACATAAAATAATATCTATTGCCTTTTGCCAAAGAAAAAAAAATCTATTATAGTATGGAATCTAGATTTCATGATCATTTTTAAAAGTTTGTGGTTTATGGTGTCAAATGTCAATACAGTTGTTTGCTTGTTTATATCCAGACGAGTTTTCTGATTTTTTTATTTTGACTCGTTATTACTGTTTCTTTTATTTATGTAAATGCTGTTCACAAATATAAAAATAACATTAACGAGTACTGAATATGTATAAATGAAAGTAGTGTGTTTGTGACTGTAATATAGTCTATAACTGTGAAGGGTTTCTCTTTAAAGTTATTTGTTGACTTGCAAAGGTTTTGAATTTATACTTTTGTATAAGAAAAAATGGATAATCTTGATAATACCGTGTCAGTATTAGCAATGTTAGATAATCAATGTAAGTAAAATTAGCAGTTAGTTTTTTGGTCTAGTTTATATTCAGTAAAATATTGCATATAAGATCTTATGACATAGGTTTATACTAATTGTACAGAAAATTATATGTACATAGTACTATATATATATATATATATAGTAGTAGTAGTATTATATTTATACCTACTGAATTTCTTCTTGTTGTGAAAATTATAATTATTTATTATTAATAAAACTATTACAGCATATAAACCTAGCATGGAAATAACATCTTTCAATCATGGACATCCTATGAATCAAGAAGAAACGGAGCTCAATGAAAGCAGTAAACAAAGTGGGTTTTTATTTTTATTTAATGAATAGAACAAGACTGTTAATATACAAAATATACATTTAATCTATAATTAGATATTTTAGATTATTTATTGATTATTATACAATATAATTATACTAAAAATAACTTACCATGTAAAATATTTACATATAATTAAATTTCTTATGAGTAAATCTCATAAGGAATTTAATTATATGTAAATATTCTGATACTGCTTACTCCATTTAATATTTATAAATTTTGCAATTGATCATTTGTGTAGTGTTGATAAGATATAAGATAAATCTTGCTAACTCAAGAACAGCCTATTTATTGTTTCCTTAATAAGAAGATTCTGATTTGTTATGGTGATCTTGTCAGATAAAGGGACCCATGGTAGATTGTGACAGAAAGTGTTCACACATTTTCCAGACTCTGTACTTGACTCTTGGCAAATACACTTTCGTCACTATAAGTTCATCTATGTCCTGCTTGTTAAAATAACACTGTCTATAAAACTATAACTTTATTCTAGATATAATTTGGACTAAAAATGCAACATGCATGCTGTTGAATTTATATGAAACAAAGATGCATATGCTTGATAATCCAAAAAAGAAATCAAAAATGTGGTCATCAATAGCTGAAGAATTAAAGGCAATGAATATTGAGGTAATTTATAGTATTTATAATACCTGTATTATAATATATATTTAATGTAGACCATAAAATTATTTTTGCATATATGAAATGAATGCTAAGAATTATCAAGAATTCTCTGAATTATTTACTTTTTTTTTATAACAGAAACTGTCTTAATAAAACAAGTAAAAAGCAGTGAATTTGGTTCATTTTAACAATTTATTAATGGTAACTATGTTGTAACAATATGTAAAATAAATATAAACAGAAATATTACAATATTCTGTCTATGCACAGGTAACTCCAGATCAAGTGAGATGGAAAGTAAATGCTTTAACAAAAAAGTACAAAGACTGCATTGATAATGGGCAAGGATCAACAACATTCAAATATTTCAATGAAATGCATCAAATTCTGGGGCGTTATAATAATGAAGATAATGCTTACAGATTAGCATCTACTGTGATGCATGTAGAGGGTGGTGATAAAGAAAGGCATAAAAGAAATATCTCATTAAAATCCTCAGTTCCTTTTCGTCGGCTTAGAGCTGAACGTAGAGCTAAGTTAGAATTAGATAAACAATGGGTAGAATACCTGAGAAGACAAGAAGAACACAAATTAGAAAGAGATGAAAGATGTGAAAGAAGTTTAAGATTAAGAGAAGAAGAATTGCAATTAAAAAGAAAGGAACTAGAAATCAAACAATCGATAGCTTTAAAAAAATTACAATTAAAAGAAAAAAAACAAGAAGAAATTCTCAAAATAGAAAGAGAAAAATGTGCTTTATTAAGAAAATTATTAGAAGATCAATAATTATAAGAAGTTAATAGATATTATAATATAGAAGTTATAAATAAATTTATAATGACTCAGCTAAATGTTAAGTGTTATAATATATTTTACTTTATTTTTATAGCTCTTATGGTATAGTGAAACAAGCATATGGTTTACCTGATGATAGAGTTCTTATCTTTTCCAAAGTTATTTTTGAGTTGAATGGATCTATTCATATTTTTATATATTCTGCCTTGATCTAAATTATGATGATGAAAAGTAGCTGTTTAAAAAATGATCTCAGAAAAATCAATATATCTTTCAGATTAAATATAAAATAGTTAGTATTCTTTACAAAATTACTTAAGTAAAATGTGCTCATTTAAGCCTAAAGATGATCTATGTTTTAGGGGACTATTATACATTCTGCAGTTTATTAATAAAGTTGGTGTTTTATAAAAGTATTTCTCATTTAGTCATTGTATTATCATACTTATTGTCCCCATAATAATCTCAGTTTTCTAGCTGATAGTTATACTCATTCTTGTGCCTCAAAATAATCATTTTCGTTAAGACAGTAATTGTGTAAAATACATGCTGCTACAATTGTGTCTGTGATAAATGCAATGTTTCTATAAACTGTGAAAAGTTTGATTCTTCGAAATCTTCGTTTTAGAGCATGAAATGCCTTATCACTTAACTTTCTTGTAGAAGAATGCAATGAATTGAAATCCCGTTGCTGATTTGTTAATCGTTTATTTTCTCGAAAAGGTGGAACTAACCATGGCAATGAAGGGTATCCTGAGTGGCCAATTAAAAATGTATTGTGAGGAAATAGAGAATTTCTGTTTTGTGATGCTGTATTATATAAAGGTGACTTCTTTAGAACACGAGAACAATTTGAGGAGCCTGGTTCACCACAAAATATATTTGTGAATCGCATATTGGCATCAATAGTAGCTTGTAGAATTAATGAAAAGTAGCCTCTTGGATTACAGTATTCTCTTGGATTCTTAGGTTTCTCAATTCTTATATGAGTACAATCAATAACCCCTACTATGTTTGATATTCCTGTTTTGTTATGAAATGTATCACATACTGTCTTTATTTCATTGTAACCCTGAGGCCATTTAACAGCATCATTCAATTTTGTCAAAATCCATGCAACAACTCGTCTAATCACTCTAAAGGTTGATGATATTGATATATCAAATCGAGTTGCCATGGGTGTTAATGGTTCCGTACTGGCAATAAACGATAAAAATATATAAAAACATAGTTTTGGCTCCAGAGGTTTCAATCCAAATTTATGTGATGCTATAAATCCAGATTTTTCTAAGTCACCTAAAACAAAAATAAACATTGTAATAATAATTATGTATGTTATTACAATAAAAACAAATATAAAATTAGAAGCTATGTGTACTACATGTTTGTATATGTACAGCTTAATAAAACAACTACCATAACAATACCGGATTAGACTAGCAAGAGTAGTAAATGATATGGGCCACAAACACTCGTTTTTGTCTGAATAAGACAAAAAATGTAATACATAAAGAAACATTAAAGAAAATATTATTGTTGTATTTATACAGTTGTTTATCACGTAACTTACCAATTAAGCTCAACGTTGTTTTCCTGGACATTCTCATCCGATTTTTAAACTCCGAATCTGTCCATGAATCGATGATATGCAAATAATCATCAACTCGTTTTCTCTTAAGTCTCAATAAATATTGCATTAATGGAAAAAATAATCTATCACTTTCATCCTCCTCGTCGTCATCAGAGGATTCATATTTTTGGCTACATACCTCTTCGTCCCAACTACTAAGATCTGTATCATCGCTACTGCTAAGTATGGTTTCCGACAACCAAATTATCATTTTCGAATCCTCCATTTCACTATAAATTAATGTAATTACTGTATTTCATAAAACTTAAATTGAAATTTCAACCTGTTTATGTTTATATTTACATTCAAAAACTTTTTTTATATGGGGACATAAATACAGTACATTTTGGCCACCGATGGCACAGACTACTTAAAGTGGTTTTAGAGAAATATGTGTATATTTTATCTAAATATATAGGCAAAGGTATAAGACCATAAAGCTTATTTAGAGTAATAAGGGTCCGTACACAAAAAAAATACACTACATTTAACATTGACTACACGATACTTTTAATGTCTTACTAAGAAAAAAACAATAGAGATTGGTAACTCTAAATAATACATACGTACTCACAAAGCCGGCAGTTTATGTGAGCCAACACAAAACAAAGGTGTGTAGTGGTGTTTGTAGCAGCTTCAAATCTAGAAATTAAAGATTCGTTTCAATTTGAATGAACTTTATTTATATTTTAAACAGACTTACTGAAGGGTGATAGAAACACTCAAATACAGAATTTTTCAAGTAAAAGAAAATACACTCCTGTAATTCACTAAGCTAAGCTGTTGCTAACATGATAAATAACTAATCTCAGTAGTTTAACAGTCCACATAAGTTTCAATCTTAATGTGTGGGATGTGCATCCCAGAAGTTAAATTGAAGTTCGCTTCCCACTGATGAAATTATTAGTTGTGTGCCTGTTGTGTGTGGCTGAATAAATCTCAAAAATATTAGAAAATATATTATTCAACTTTCCAACTTACATTGAGCACATAAACTACTAACTTCTTGCACTTGAATATGTTATAATAAAAAATAAATAAAAAGAATTTCTGTGAAATTCTAAATATTAGAGTTAGAGTAGGTTTGTTATTTGTATAGTATAAATATACAATAACTATTTGTATATGTATGATTGAATGCTTTTGCTATACTAAATAGACACAATAGGCATCTCACACAATATTATATTATCTCACTAGTATGACTTTATTAGCCCAGTCACTAGGCCTCATAATAATATAATATCTCATTTAATTATTTAAAGTCCTTTTTCAGTAAATTTTATGAAAATAATTGCACCAGCAATCGACATTTCTCTCTTTGAACCTGTAGAATTTCATTAAGATCCTTTTCAACTAATTCCATCTTCTTGCATTCTAGTGCTTCTTTTAGTTCCAACTCTCTCCTTCTCAATTCCAACTCTTCTTCTTTTAACTTCAAATGCCTCTCAAATAAATCTTCTTTATTAACTCTATGTTGTTCTTGCTGCCTTAAATATTGTAACCATTGCTTCTCTATATTTAATTTTGTTTGTGTTCGATCAGACTCTATTCTACTGGCTAATCTCATTTTCCTTAACTCAATCATTGCTTTGCTTTCTTCTTGTTCATTCGGCATAGAGTGACTAATACTATTTCTTTTATTCTTTAATATTTCTGATATTATGAATGCATCACAATCAACATTAAAACGAGAATAAATACTGTCCATTTCCTTGAAATATCTGAATTTTTTATGCTGTCCATTATCTATGCATTGCTTATATTTTTTTGCTAAAGCATTTATTTTCCATCTTACTTGATCAGGTGTCATCTGCAATTAAATTAGTCAGATTGGTTTATTTATAGTATTCCTTAACTGTACTGACTATATACTTTGTGCTAAGGTATTTAGCTACTAAAATTAATACCTCAATGTCACATTTCTTCAGACTTTCCGATATTGCAAGCCATATTCTAGTTTTCTTTTTCGGTGTTTCCAGCATTTCTAATTTGTTTTCATACAATTTTAAGAGGGTAGTGGTAGATCTTATTGTCCATACTGCACCTAAAATTGTTTTTGTCCAGATTTTCATTAATTTAGCATTAATGTCTAAGTATGAATGTAATGTAATAATGTAAACAAACATATATTCATAGGTAACATGCAATTAAAAATTGCAGATAACTTTCCCAGAATATTATAGTTATTTACTATGTAGCCTTACAATAGTCAAAGTAATAGATACTTTGACTATTGTAAGGCTACATAGTGGATATAAAAATAAGAACTTAATATAATCACATAGTTTGTTCAAATACCCACTTTGTTTTTCACTATTTTCATTAGATATCAAGTTGGATTTAATCTCCTTATGACCATCATTTTGTACATCATGAGTATTGCTGTTCTTTATATCATAAGTTGGTAATTCTGGTGAATCAGGAGCTGTAAATAATTCAATGTGAAATAATAAATATCAAATCTATATGGTACTGCCCGTAGGTGCTGGGGTCACCACAGCAAAAAATAATGCAGTATAGGTAAAAAAGAAAGTAAATATATAAGTAAATATATGTAAAAATTGTCTAAATATTACCATGGTAACAAAATAGACTAGAAATATAAAATTTAAATGTTAAAATACAACTAATACATTTTGTGCAACCCAAATACAAGGAGTCCTTTAAAGAAATTAGGTCCTAAAATGTAATGTACATACATTACATAAATAATTTAACAAGTTTCTCTGAATGTGAAATAAGCAGGGCTCGGTGTAAAAAAATATACCATTACATATATAAATTTTCACAGACAGCTCCTGGGGACTGACTGATATTGGAGCAGCATCATTAATTTAAAAGTAAAATACAATTCAAGAAAAAAGAGCTAACAGATTGGACTATTGTAAATGAAAAGCAGATTGCCAATTATGAAGTATTCAAAAGAAAAAAAAAACAAATTTATTATATAATAAACATTTTGCTGCCGTATAGTATGAAATAACATATTTTTATTTTATCTAGAAAAAATATTTGTTATAATATACACATAAAAAATTACATAAAATAAATAACCCCTGGACGATTTACACGGTGATTTAAGGAAAAACAAATGCTGGTTATAATCTCAAAGAATTATTCAATATATAGAGATATATTAAATAATTCTTACTCACAATTGTTTAAAACATTGTTCACATCTAAATTACTTGTTTCAAAATTCATTTTAGTTCATTTTTAATCTTCTCGAGTAACATGTATTATTTTTTGTTTATTTTTATTTATAATTTATTACACTATAATGTCACAGTACAGCTAAGAACAGATTAGAATTCTTTCTAATCTGTGTACCACAGACTGATGAGAGAACTTACAATTATACAGATTACATTCTTTTTCAGGAGCATTAATTTACATTGTCGTGACTTAGAACAATTGGTAGGATTGAAAAATTCTGTAGCTATTGAAAACGAATGATATAAATTAGCAAATTTATACAATTTATTGTAATATAAACAAAACTTTAAGACAGCTTTTATTCAAAGTTTATAAAATCCTTTTAATTTTCTGTGTAATTTATCTGTGGTTACACGACCAGCTTATCAAGGCTGCCAATATTTAATTAAACCCGCCGCGACGCAAAAATTTGTACAATTTATATTTTCATTTAAACTGTTTTATTGTTTATTAACGATGACCGACGTAATTAATTACAAAAGATATGAAAAGTCTTTAGGCCTTCTTACGACGAGATTTGTATCATTGTTACAGAAAGCGAAGGATGGTGTTTTGGACTTGAAAATCGTAAGTATATGCATGGGCTTTTATTTTTATCAATCTGTCATACGTATTTAGGCACGAAAAATAAACATTCAATTTTATACATTAACAATTCAATTTCAGGCTACTGATCTCCTGGCTGTGCGACAAAAGCGGCGAATTTATGATATTACTAATGTACTTGAAGGCATCGGTTTGATCGAGAAAAGAAGCAAAAACAGTATTCAATGGAAGTAAGTATTTGTTTATAATATTATTTATCATTGCTGATTCTTTAATCTCACGTTGAATACATTCATCTTGCCTAATGAATTCATTATAATTAATTTTAATTATCTTCCTTTTGTAATTAATTCAACAAAAATGTAATTTATTCCACTGAAATTGCTTAATATAAAAGGAAGTATCTTGTTAAATGTGTTGTATTCTTTTGTTTCAGAGGTGCTGGACCTGATTGCAATACTAATGATATTGGTGCAAAAGTAATATCATTGCGAAGACAAATTAGCCGTTTAGAAGAACATGAAAAGTTGCTTGATAAGTAAGTGATATAATGTATGCATTTGTTTTTTACTACATATCCAGCTTATTGACGTCCAAGTTATCCATAAAAACTAAAAAGTACAGTCAACTTGAATAAGTTCTGTACTTTGTATGTTTGATCGATGTCATACGAATATATAGTTTACATTATTTACAATAGGTTTTTTATAGAGTTATAGTTTTTTTCTGTTCCTGGTATATCCGCAAAAGTTGTTATATCAGTTGTCTAGTAGCCATAACACAAGCTCTGCTTATATGGGTTTAGATGGCGCTGTCTTAATTGTCCAGAGTTATTTATTTAAAAATATTTTTTAAAATATGTTATTTCTTCTTTCAGCCAACTCCATTGGATTGAACAAAGTATAAGGAATGTTTTGGAGGATATGGACAATCAAGATACAATTTATGTTACAGAGAATGATGTTAGTAAATGCTTTCAAGAAAATCAAGTGTTAATTTTAGAATCATCATTAGGAACTGACATAACAGCAGCTGTTCCACCCACTAAGGTATGCAGAAATATATATTTCAGTGCAATGCAATAATGGGTTCCCCTAATAGAATATTACTAAAGTTGATTAGTTATAGTATTTGTTATGAAAAAACAAAACACATAACTGCTGTTATGTGTTTTGTTTTACATATTTTTCATAGTATTACATTTTATTATTTTTGAGTAATAAAAAGGCAACAATTCATAGACTCCTTATAGAAAACTAATAGTATTATAGGTGTTTATTAGGCACTTTCTTCAAAATAATATGGTAAATTGGTTCCCCGATTATAATTATATACATTACTAGCTGTTCCCACGACTTCGTCCACATGGAATTTAACTTTATTTTTTTAAAGATTTTTTCTTCAATAAAACTTACACCTTATTACATCAGCTACCTGCCAAAAAAAGTCCCGTCTAAATCGGTCCAGCCATTTCAGAGATCAGCCGGAACAAACAGACAGACAAAAATAGTAAAAAATGTTATTTTGGTGTATGTACCATATTTATATTCATATGCATGTAGTAAAAAACTGTTATTTTAATATTACAAACAGACACTCCAATTTTATATACATGTATAGATTAAATTAGTGGTGATGCAAAATATAAATGTGTCAATACATTTAATTTTTATCTTTTTCCAACAGTCCTATATGTTATTTATAGTCAGGTCATGTAACTGGCGTATTCATTAAGTACATAATTAACTATTTCACGAAAATGAACAAAGATGCCAAGATAATAGTGATTATAGGAGTTTCTTCATTCTAATTAAAATTTTTTATTTTGTTTACAGGACAAAGAACCACATTATCTTTTACATGTAAAATCTTCGGATCCAGTCGGAGTAATATTGTGTGACAGAGATAAAGAAAAGGTATGGTACAATTAGCAGTACCACTTCAAGTAGAGTAGTATGAAAACATATGTATTCATATACATACATACTTTACAATACAAAACATTTGGTGGTTTTAGTGAGTGGCATGTAGGAAGACAAAAGAATGATGTGAACCAACCGCGTGGAAGGCCCTCAAAAAAGTTCGAAGACGAAGAGCTGCAAGAGCTGCTTACAGAAGACCCTTGTCAGACACAGAAGATGCTTGATATTTTCTAAACATAAGCGTGTCGTACGCTTGAAGGCGTTGGGAAAGATTCTCAAGTTCGGGAAGTGTCTGTCTGTCTGTCTTTCGCTCAATGTTACTATTCCTGCACCGGATTGTAACTGGAGATGAAAAGTGGATCTATTTCGAGAATTTCCAGGTACTTCGAAGTATTTGGCCAGACGGTCGACCAGGTTCGTTATCAACAACAAATGAGAGGTTTGTAAAAACGCCCGGAATGGCAGGAAAAATGTTCGGCTAGTAATTTAAGTATTTTTATATTAATAGAATCTTAGGTAATAATAATAATAATTATTATTATTATATTAATAGAATCACTGTCATATATACATTAGCCTACATTTTTCTCACAGTACTAAAAGTCATCAAGTATAAAATAATGACCAAGACCAGACACTGTACTGTCTAAACACAGATATAAGTCTTTAAAGATTATATAATTAAAGTAAATGATCTAAAATTATAATATTGATATTTCAATACACTTATTGAATGAACATTTTGTTTATATTATAAATGTTCTATCCAGGAATTCGATGAAGATGGCATGGATGACAGTGAAGTGCAGAGATATACAGAAAAGAGTGATAGTACATTACAACATAGTAGTAAGTACATGCAAATAAACACAATTTTAAATGTTTAGAGAATACTGTATCATTATGATATTCATTAAAATAGATTGTATAATAATTTATTCTTTGGTTTGTTATAAATTTTCAATATTAGTGTCTAATTTAAATGTACATTTGTATGCTGTTCCCTGCAGTTATTCTAATCACTATCTACAATAATGTGAATTAAGATCATATATTTCTACATTTTCCCCGTTTTTGCGACATTTTTCATTGCAGCTTTGCTTCTATTTTATCTATCTATAGATTGTAGTGTAATATTATATAATCTTAGAGAGCTTTCCGATACGCTTTTGCTTAAAAGAATAGAATTGCTATGAACTTCACTTATAAACTTTACCTGTTTATAATAATATTATATGTATATTATTTAGATTGTACTTCATTCAAATGTATCAATAACTATTATGTTTCAGATTATCTCCTCCGTCTAAGTCCACCAATCACAAAATATGATTTCACATTTTCTCTCCGCGGTACAGAAGGCTTGTGTGATTTATTTGATATACCTTGTTAATCCTAAGTTATAATTAAGTTTATTGAATAATTTTGAAGGACATTATTTTTTATATATTTGAGATCATGTTTAACTTTTTTATGCCATGTAAATAATTCGTGTAAATAAAATGAAAAAATTATACCCTTATTGGATATTACTATGTATATAAAATAAAACAAAGTTTATGACTAAAGAGCATTAATTATTTCTTAGGTTTAGATACAAATCGGTCTAGAACGCCAAATGATTGCTGTGGGGTAGTTTGTTTTTCTGGTATATCCAACATTTTCCGTGCTTCTATGGCTTGTGTAATGAATTCCTGAAACATAAAATATATTTGTTGCAAATTATGCATATAGGTAATTATAGTTTTGATATTTAGCATAAGAAAATTAAGGGAGTACACTCACTTTTCTAGTAGTATCTTTAATAATTTTCTTCCTCGCGATGTTAGTTTTACCTTTATTCTTTCGCCGCGGAGTAATATCAACTTTTTTGGGTTTCAGGTGCTGTAAATATTGTAACGTATTTAGTAAGATGAAAAAAATGCACGAATAACATGTATAGGTATTATAAAGATTTATATTTATTAAAGTGTTCCATGTTAAAAAATATTTTTTTTATATTAGTTAATAATGAATGAAGCTCTCGACATATACACGACAGCATTGTCTAGTGCCAACCTGAGCAGAGCTTATATTGTATGGCATTAATGACTATGTATTGTAACTTTTAGGCTATTTTTTTGTATACATGCATAAAATGTCCAAAACATATACAGTAGACCCATAACTACAATAATTATTGTAAGGCATCAAATCTGCAATTGTGACTAAACTGTGTTCCTACATCAAAATCATTATATTGTATATATAGTATTAAATACAGTTTATGTTTGTCTTTTACTTTAATTAAATTATTAACTATACAATATCTGCCACAATTTACACCCCTGTGAAGTCGTGGTGGGTTGTTAGTATTGTATAAATATGTATTATAATAAACATACCAAAAGCTTTTTCTTGGCCTCCATTTTATCTTGCATACTAGGTACATCAACTTCTGTGACTTCATAAGGATTGAGTGTAATAAGCTCAGCAGGGATTTTCTCAAGTAATGCTTTAACTTCTGCTTCTTTTCTTTGTTTTTTGGTTTGGAATGGATTGCTTTCCAAAGCATCGAAGTTAGGTTCTCCAGATCCTGTAGGAAAGTAAATTCAGATTAATATTACAGACTTACATTTCCAGTTTATAGGTGGTTTCATTACTAAATATCTTGCTGAACATACACAATACAATACCAGACCAATTGTATTCATGAATATGATTGTTTATATCGGTCTGGGTGTTTTCTACGTATAATAATATGTATTTACGAAAAAAAAAACTGTTTGTATCAGTTATCTAGTACCCATAACACAAGCTTCAGCTAGCTTAAATTGGGTCTAGAGGGTGTTGTGTGAATTGTCCTGAGATTATTATTATTATTAACTAATAACTTTGAGAGGTTTTGGCATCTTTTTCAGTTATTTTCGCAATTTAAAGTAAGTTTAAAATGTGTTTATAGGTTTTAGTTTTACAACAATATTTTTCAATTTCAATACAAGTTATATTAATATTTACTAACCTGGTACAATGATACTGGCGAAACCACCACTCGTTCCAATTCCTAACACATCCTCATAAGGACAGAACTTGAAATTATCAATGGATTTACACATTCTGTGTCTTAAATAAGGTCTATTTACTGTTTTAGTACAGCAATCACTAAAAAGATAAAACATATTTATTTCCTTTTTGTATTAGAACATTTATAATATGGTAAACATATGAACTATAATTAAACATAATTATAGTTCATATGTTTTTATTAGGGAAAAATTAAGTAGTGTGTTGAAGTCTTTATAAATGTTGGTAAAAATATCTGTACAAATACTTATCACAATGTCCTACAATTGGCTTCTCCATCATAGCTATATTTTAAATTCATACATACAATGGAATCGTCTATGGTCATCCCCATTTCTGCCAATTGTGTAAGTAGGTATAGCCTTGAAGAAGCATGAATAGATGAGGGTAAATTCCAATCATTTAGCTTAATATGGTGAATCCATTAGGAATTAACTAATGGTTTCCAAGGATGCCAATGGATAATGTTCCTAACCAACAATACTCTACACCTAAATTTGAGTTTAATGTAATTATTTTAGACAAACATACTTGTAAACTTCTACAACTTCTCCAAGTCCAACAGCCAACATATCTTTTTGTGAAAATTCCAACTCAACTGGAGCACTTTTTAATCTGTAATGTTGCAGGGGGCCATCTAGATTTCTTATGTCCCATATCTTCATACTGCAGTCAACTCCCGAGGTGGCCATGTACCTGCATAAAGATAGTTTTTATAATAAAATAAAATAATACAAAGATGTGACTTACCACAGTTTTTATATTTTATTATTATTTTGCATTAATTATAGGAAAATAATATGCAGTTTTTAATTCCTGTTTATGTTGAAAGTAATTTATTTTTAAACTATAAAGTTTATTTATGTTCATGAAAATCATGAATTTTATTGTAGGCAGTTTAAATACCCATTCTTTCGTAGATCATTTATAAATAAGTTATAATAAAACATAGCCTATTAATTCCTGATACTATCTATCTTTCTGACAAATTTTGTTGAGATCTATTCAGATGTTTACTCGTAAAAAGGTAATAAATAGGCAGATACGAGTTTCAAATTTATAATGTTAGTATAGATAACTGAAAGTGTCTATTACATTCAGTTTATTTATATAAATATTACCATTAATGTAGAACAATTAACTTACAATCCTCTTGTATCCACAGCAACCGCCGTTACTGGCGTCTTATGGCACAATATTTTCGCCAAGGGATCTTTAACAGTTGGTGACCATAAAGAAACAAGTCCCTGTGAATTGCCTAAGCAAATAGTACCATTGTAAGGATTTTGCGTCATTACCGACGACCTCCCTGAGCGATTGTTATAACTGCCTGCAACTTCTCCAATGGATACATCCAGCCATGTCATATAACCAAATTCATTCTGTAACAAAGAAAATTAATTAATAAAGTAAATTTATCCAACAATATTGTTATCATTATTAAATTAGTTACTTGTTTGATAATATTTAAATGACTGCATTCACTAAAAAGATTGTTAAATAAATATTCCACTAAAGTAATGTTCAGTGAATTTTGGAAAAAAAAAATATGGTGATATAATAGGTACTTTATGTCTCATTGTGGAATAAGAAACATTGTACTGTGTGCATTATTTATAAGTGTGACTTAACAATAATAAATACCCTTTAAGCGGTTAAATTAAATTAATTAATAGTGTTAATTTAATTTATGGATAATGTTTGTCTAGTTTATCATTTGACAGTAGTATTTCATTAAAAAGAAGAATGTGCTTATAAAATGTCCATACCACAGCCGCTAACAAGAAGTGATAAGGCAAGAATTCCATTCGTAAAATCTTGTTCATATTTTTCAAGCAGTGTATTTCAGTACCCGTATTGTCATAAATATATAACCATTCTTTTTGTGCCACAGCTAACATTGTTTCTATGTGCAGCCAGCTATAAAAAAATGTAGAATAATATATTTAATCATTTCCATTGCACAAATTATAATGATGATTGGTCACAACAAAAATGTACCCAACAAGGAATGTTATGTATGGCATTGTCACTTCTAAACCTGGGTTAATATGTTAATAGTCAGAAATGTAGAACTATAGATATGTACATAACTACAATATGATTTATAATTCGAAAAAATGGTGACAAGAAAGTCTAAACAGTTTAAATGAGATTTTAGGAAATTTATAGACAGATTTAATAAGAAATAATATCATCATAAATATAATAGCTACTTATGTATTGTAGTAAAGTGAATTATTTAATAAAAATACTTAAGTATAATACCTTATATCATGTATTGATTCCATAACATTTATTTCAAAATGCAACTTCTTTGTGAACCAATCAAAAGCCGCCAAGTGTCCTTTTCTGCCTCCAAGAAGTAAATGTCTGCCATTGCGTGAATATTTTGCTCTATATGAACCAAAATCTAATTTCAAATCAAATATCTTAGTAGCTGCAGCTATGTCCACATTCTTAGCTATTATATCTTGTGTTATTGTTGTAGTCTTCCTGCCTTTCCCAACATCTAAAAAGCTAAAAAATATATTGATACATCAATAATTTTTTAAAAATTGTGTTTATATCATCATTAGATAGTATAAAATAAAGTCGCTGTCTGTCCTGTGTGTCCTGTCGCTGTGGTTTTTTTAATAAATGGAGTAATTCTAGAGAAAGGTTTATATATAATACATATACACCCGGAAAATCCACGGAGATTAGCTAGTAAAAACTAAATTACAATACATGACAATAAATGAATTGCTTAAAATTCTAAGATATAGCTTCTGAAAAATAATAGTATAAACAGTTTTAGAGACACTGTTATTTTCACATTAATTTTCTTATCATATAAATTTATTTTGGGGTTGTACTTACTACATGGGAATTTAAATATTGGAAAGAATTGATTTAATTTATTATTATAAATTAGTTCCAAAAGATCTACATAGATGTAATTTTTACTATCATTATACTAATATTAATCTTACTGAACTATATTGGCAATTTACTATAGAAACTAACCCTGACTCTTCTGTTAGCAATATCTCAGCCCTGGCAGCTTCTTCTTCGGCATAATTGTATTTGCGCTCTCTTTTTTTTAGTTTTGCAGCATATAATGGATGTCTCACACCCTTCCCAAGCCCTTCACCTCGGGAGTATTGGTTTAACTTTTGTTTATCTATTGGAGCTTTTCCCTTAAACACCTTTTTATTTTTGACATAATTTTTATCATTTCTATTATTTTTCTAAAATGAAGAAAAATAATTATAATGGACATTTAATTTGAATAAGGACTGCATTCAACTAAACTTAAGAAAAATTATTGACTTTCAAGTACATGTAGATATAGATGACAATATTTTCAGTTTCTCTTTACTAAAATGTGTAAAGGGTAAGGATGACTGAAAATATTGTGCTTGGATTGTGTGATGAAGATGATTTACAGAAAAGGAGAGTAAACTCAAATATGATGGAAAATTGGAGCCACTGGAAAGAGATCACATACTGTGGTGACCTTAAATAATAAGATAAAGGAAAAGCAATTATATTTCACAATACATCATCTATGTATACCATACACACATGTACGCAATACACATATGTACACACAGACCGACTGACCGACACTCATATACAGTGCAAGGGTTGAGCCCATTACTTAGAATTATATAAAATGATAAATGCCAACATCTACAAGATGTGCAAAGACATCTTGTACATGGTCACAGACAATAAAATATAATAAACATACGTAACCTACTAAATTTACCTCACTTTTTGTACACACTTTTTATTTAACTTATTCTAAAAATATGCTGTAGATTTAATATAATGAACTGTAATGTATTGGTTTTTAAAGAAATGAATTAAGACAGTATTATGCGGTTGTTCGTACGTACAATACAAGTAGTTTAAAATTAATTACTCACAGTATATTTTTGATTTCGCTGCGGTTGGTATCCTGGTCTTATTTTAATATTAAAGACTTGAATGTTATCATTTTTGTCTGTTTCAGCATTACTTGAAGACTTTTCGCCGTCTACATCGAAGTATCGATTCTATAAAATAAGAGGTTATAATTTGAAATATTCGTATAGTAGTGTTACAATAAGTATATTAGAGTATACAGTATATTATACTTACTTTTTTTTCAACTTTCATGGTTTATCACGATGACTCAATAACGTTTAAATACTTTTCCTTTCAGTTTAAATATATTAAATTATTAAGCATGTGAAATTTTCAGTTTGTTTTGTTTGTCAATTTTGTCATTGACAATAGAGATGTATTAACTAGAGTTACTAACTCAAGTTTACTCGAGTTGCGCATAATTCGAGTTAACTCGAGTTGAATTATGCTAACTGAATTGGAAGAATTCAACTGGTAAATGAATGAATCAAGTGAAAGAGCGAGAGCATGATTCTGTCATCGAACTGACAATGACATGAAATTTTTCGATTATTTCACAAATATTTCAATATTGATTTGAGGTTGTTACCATTTTTTTTTCGCATATTCGTCTGATTATGTTTTCAATAAAATTATTATGCGTTCCAGTTACGTTCTTCCGCGGTTTTAAAGTGCCATTTCTACTCGCCCCCTAAAGTTCGGTGAAGCTTTCAAGGCCAGCTGCGGCCAAAATCATTTGAATTGTTCGAAAAAAAAACTTTAATCCAGGTACTCGAGTCAACTCGAGTTACCTGAATTTTAACTCGAGTTAACTCGTGTCATGTTGATTTCGAGTTAGCACATCTCTAATAGACAATTTGACAGTTGACTGTTTTATTCATGGTTCTCTATAAACGTCGATTTCTTTAGCTGATTTACTTTGACATTGACATTTATACATAGTTCAGAAATTAAGAAAATAATTCTTAATTTCTGAGTTCAATATAGTATAATTACGATTATTCTATACATATTATTTTAAATACAAATAAAACCCAGTTTTTATATTATATATATTTTTTATGATCTCGGTTTGTGGTAGTTGCCAATTATCGGTGCCGATTTGGATGTTTTCTTTTAATAATTTAATGTAATGAAATATACTATTGCATTGGCCATATACCTACATTTTTTGTCTATTGGCGTTTAATATTTAACCAACTTGAAAAAGAAGGTATATATTCAGTATTAAATACTACTAGTTGTATGTATTCGCTACATGTATATATAGGTACATTTGTAATTCTGAAGATTTTTTTAACTGTTAGTATATAATTTTGGGGAGAGAAACGCATAGCTTCTACAGAGCGTCATGACCTAGTAGTCTACGCTGACTTAAATCGGTGAGTACGATCTGGGCAACCCCAAAAAAGAAAACTACAATTTGCATTTTTGACTGACTCTCTAATCAGTTAAAATATTTTTTCGTAGTATACGATGGACAGCTTTATTGTGACCTTGTCATGTTGAATTCAGATATACCCAACGAAGTGTGGGTATCTTAATCGTTGTGTTCGTCCTGACGTCGATAACTGATAATGCAAAGGATTACAATCGGTATGTTTTTTGTAGATGGCGGGTTCATGGACTAAGGCAACAACTTCCATTATGTAAGATCCACTAAGTAGGTAGGTAGGAATGGAAATTGACAAAATGCGACCTCAGTATTTATTATTTTTATTCTCTTTAACAACACATACTCAATATTTTACAGAAACGTATATGACAATCAGAGTAAGTAGTAACATATTAATAGGATTTAGTTTTTAAATGCGAATATAATTCTTTTCTGTGTACTGATGTAAAATTAAATTACAAATCCATATGACAAACAAATATGTTCTGATAATTTACAAAACAATGATTGCACAATGTTCGCACGATGAGTGCTGTCGAAACTGAAAATAAGGCAAATTAACATTCAACTTCATTAATTAAGCTATCACAATTCGTAAAGGTAACAATAAATAATTAATAACATGTAACATAATCACAGCAAAGTGAACATTGGCTAACAAAGAAAGTTTTAGTTTATCCCCTAAAATTGGTTATCAATTAATGAGTGAATTATTAACTTACTCGATCTAATGAGATCTCATATTTACTAATACAAATAAAAACGTCCCTATGACGCGACAACTATTATTCACAATTATATACAAAACTGACTAGAAGGAGCTTATTAATCTTGTTTACATCATTCATTATTTTCTATGTCAATACTTTAGTCTTAATACACCAGCGAGCGAGTCTGCGAGGGAGGCTGCTGTGAAGCGTTTGGCACAATCCCAGTATGTGTGAGAACTTAATGACTGATAAATTTTATCTTACACGCTATTAAAATTATTTGGTTTCATAAAAATCTGGGCCTGTACGAATTCGTAATTTCACTAATATCGTAACCACTTTAACGATACTTTCATACCGTTTTTTATTTATATCGTGATGTACTTAAATACAATATTTACATAGCCGAATTAACGCGTTTGTGGGGCTAAATCGCTTACGTACAATAGTATAAACTTCTCCCCTAACAATTAGGTAGTTTAATTTTAAGCATACGAGTAACAGTGTTTAAAATTTATTTACGTCTATATTTAAGTCCATCTTATATATTAAAAGTTGAACGAATCTTCAAGTGCTGACGTGATGTCATAAAGAAGTCACACATCGTATACAACGGTTTATAAACAGACATCGGTTGCCTATTAATAGAACACAACATCTCGATGGCATCGCGACATGGGTTCTATGTCGTACAGTTAAATTGTAAAATCGCCTCGATAAGTCAAATAGTCAATCTTTGGTAAATAGCTTTGGGACAAATTTAATCACACATTGTCACTAAACACACGAATTGCACTAAATCCACCGTGAGAATCTCAAGCTCCGCCGATCGCAACCGCGACGTCTCAACACAGTTCACTGTCGTTCAGTATCGGCGGCGCTTTGTGAACCTTAAATGGGAGTCGGTAGCACTGTGAAGTCTTGAAGCGCGCTTTTAACCGTTTCGTAGATAGGGCGATTTTCGTCGGGGCAGTATCCGTCGGGAGAGCAGAGGGTCTGCAGTTTGGTGAGATAGGAGTCGAAGTTGTCATGGGCGGGCTTCTCGCCGGGCCCGGGCGGCGGCGCTGCTCCCGGGGGACCAGCGCTCGTCACCGGCACTGCGCCCCCGGCACCGCCTGCACCACCGGCGCCGCCAGGGATACGCACATGCTCCAGCAGCGTGATCACGTTGTTTCGAAGACTCTCGTAGTACTCGTTTAAGTTATTGTTCCGCTGCGATATTAACTGCTGCTCCTAGAAAGATGAGACATGCGAGGCTTGAGACGCATAATGATTGAACCTTTGTGGCGCACGTTGCTTTTTGCAAATGAGATCTTAGAATTGTTTCTGGGTCGGCTTATTTAACAGACTTATCAAATTTGGTTCTATATTTTGGATCCCAAAGGGACTTATGTTTTGTGATATTTTATAATTTTGACTGATTTGGGCCCAAGCTTATTTTGCGATTGAAATTTTTGTGTGGTTACAGATCAGAGATCAGTAACTCTGAACAAACAAACAATTATGGTAGTTAGACTATAATTTTTTGTATGTATAGAGTTGCTACTGAATCGTGGTACCATAGACTAAATAGTAATCAATGGTACTCACGAAAGTTTGTGATGTTAGTAGCACTCAAAGTTGGACGTTTGAAGCCATGACAGTACCATCTACGTTATCAGAGACAAAAATATAGAATTATAATACGTTGGTATATTTTATAATCGTAAATTAGGCTAAAGATAAGCTTTAAACTTACCCTTTCTCCATGGTTTAAGTGCGTCTCCATCGCGTTGATATCTGACTTCAAACGAATCATCTGGGACTCAACTCGAGCGTTCTCGCGTTGCAACTCTGTTATTTCTTGTTCAAGAGTCATCAAGTCTTCTCCGTTTCCAGTTTGCATATTCATTTCCATACCTATTTTAAACATAATATTAAATTTTTACTTTACATAAAATTACGTAAATATAATTGTGTTCCAGTAATAAATATAAAAATAAAACACAAACCTGAATACGGTTTGGGGTACAGAGGCGTTATATCATCAGGATATTTGGGTTTCTTTGGTTGAGGTGTAGGAGTCGCGGCGCCAGCTACTGGACAGCCTGACAGGGACCTATGTGTGAGGAAGGAGCCATTTATGTGGCCCGAACCGTCACACCCGGGCGTCGGGCAGTTCACGCCGTCAAACTTTATGGCTGACGCCGCTGCTGCCACAGCAGCCTTGTGCTGTTCTACGGTTCCACCGCTTTCCAGCACTCTCATCTTGTTGCGGTTCGCAATCGGGCATCCAGAGGCACTGTTGAATAAAATTTAATGGTAACGATTCTGTTATACCTATTATATTGATAGAATTGGTATTTTTATCTGCTACAAAGTAATTAATCAAGACTGTCATTTTTAAGATTATAGTATATCAAAATTGCCGGAATAAACACCGTAATCTACATGATGTGGTAGCGAATGCTAAAATTTGATTTGAATTGTGTTCTAAATTCAATACATGTAATAGAATAAGAATAGCAAATAAGTTGTTCTATTAGAGAAAAGAGACCATAGTACATATATATCAATATAATTCAAATTCCATATTCATTTCCACATTTCTCGTTAAGCATACTTAATTGCCTACATATAGTTTATAGTCTACTTATCTAAAATCTATACAAGAATTATAATTCCTGTGTTTACTTGCACTCTTACCTTCGATGCGATAAGAATTTCCCTGTAGCGTGTCCAGAGCCATCACAGCCCGGTATTGGGCATCTAAGCAGCGTGTAAATAACCAACAAACTTGTGAACTTGTTACGTATTAGAAGTTTTGTCATTATGAATAGCTAAACAATCGAATTGCAATATAATGCTCAAGGGCTTATTACGTTGGTAAAAAATACTCACGTATTATTTTTGTAACAATAATATATGTAGGTACGTTGAAATTTTATGCGCCAAGACGAATAACCTTATATATAATTGTTTTATGCGAAGTGTAACAATTATGTACATATCTTTGTAAATCGTAGTAGATATTGGTTTATGTTTGGTGAATTTCGAATATACATGTGAGTGAATATCTGCTTGATTAACGTAAGTATATAATATTCTGAAAAATTCTTATTTGATATCGATAATTTTGTAACTATATAGTTATTACTGTAAACCATATGACAGTTGAAGTAAGAAGGCCACTTGAATGCTTCGCAATTGCAATTGTCAAATGGTTTGTGCATTATCGTAAAACTATCGATAGGTGTTTCAAATGTGGAATGTGACCAATAACAAAGGCAGCCCACTGACTATAGCTCTACCTACATACATAATCGCCAGGCTCGTTAACTTGCTGACAAGTACATACCGATAACAAATAGTAGGAAGGAAAAGTGAATTATTAATATAAATACGCAGCAATTCATTTTACGAAAATATGATTTATTTAGAAATATATTAACGTTTATATATCGGTAGTAAAAGAAAGGGGACTTTCAAGTCTACCATGATGGTAATGCTAATATGATCCTAATAACCTTATGTACTTGGTATTATTATTTATATATAGGTGATAAGATTTGGAGATGAACTTTACAAATTTAAAAGTTTAAACCCCCCTTCTATAAGTACCTATTATGCATAAGTATGCATATATCATAATATAAATTATTACTAATATAGTTCTTATTAATATTATACAGTGAGACCTGGTTTACTGGGGTCTGAATAAGTGAGAAAGCTAAGTTATTCTATATACCTGAGAGGTTCAGAATCCTGGCCATCTCGTGGTTTGCTCTTCGGCTTGTTGGCTCGCGGACAACCAGACAGCGACCGGTGCGATGAGTAGTTGCCGGTCACGTGTCCGGAGCCGTCGCACCCTGGCGTTGGACACTTCAGCTCTTGCGAGTGTGGCTGGAGTTGAGAGCGGTCGGCGCGCGGACATCCCGATAGGCTGCACATATACAAACTGCTTACAATGGCGTGACGGGGTAACATGTCAAAAAGTTATACAGAAAACAGGGCGATTAAAATTTTTATCTTAGTGACCTGTTTATGACATTGTGGTTCTGAAATAAAGATTTCCTTAATTGATGGTTTTGACACTGAGCGTGCAAGTGTGGCAAGTTTTGGATAGACAGCTAACATTTTGGGAATTAATTATTTTTATAGGTCAAAATTAATCTAACAATATTATATTCTCGTACTAAATTATTAGGTCGAATCCAGTAACATTCGTAATTCTCAGGCACCGTTTTAGGGATTTATTCCTATGCCTGCCACTTGCACTATCTAAATCAAAAGCAAACATTATATTTAATAGTATTTCGACTGAAATTAGAGGTTTCTATAGACATTTGATTCGGTGACATATGAGTAATAAGAACATAAGAAAGGTACATGGCGTGTATAAAGAACTAAGAACAAATCTAAGAAACAAATTTGGATAACGTGACAGTTCATTATTTTCCTTGACCTTAACAGTTACCAGTTTGGTACCTATGACCATTTTTTTTCTTCGTCAGAGTTGGATGCTTGCGAATTATGTATGAATTAATAGTACATTAATCACTTTATGTTGCAAAATGTAGGTACTGTTAATTCACGTAAGCGGAATTCCTAAAGCGGAGTGTTCCGCCCAAAGCAGGATGATCACGTTATATAAACTGTGCTAGTATTATACATCCATAACGTTAGTAGACTTATATAAACATATCTCGTTAATTTTGCAACATATTATTTATTAAAACATATTATATAGTACATGATTTAATTTTAATTAATATCGTCAAGAAGTATCTATAAATTGAAATCACGTGGATATTATCGTTTATTAGAGACCTGTTTGTTAATTGATATGTCTACTTGTGGTTAGTTATAATATTAAAGGCTTTTAAAAGTACTTACGAGAGTCTTAAATAAATAATTTTCGTTTATGTGCTTAGTTACGTACATTAATTAAGAAGAGAAAATGAAACACATTTAGAAGTAGTAGATACAAATATTTGTTTACTGGTTGGTTAGAGGAAAAAAAAACAACTTATGTTGTTCCATCTATGAATCTTTTTTAATTGGGAATCGCCTTTATAAGCCAGTTAAAAAATAAATAATTGTTTTAAAAGAATTATAAAAGAGACGTTTGAAGTAAGTACCTATACTTACTTATTATACGTAGATATATATTTATAGAAATTCTTTGTCTTATTTTGATGCAGCATAGAGTAGTTCGATAAATAATATTGATTAAATACAGGCGAACTTGCGAGGGTCAATATGGTCATATTGACCCGCGCAACCTCGCCTGTAACTTTTTTGACATTTTTATTATAATTCGTCCAATTTACATAATATCTTTCTAATTATAGCTTGTGTTATTTTGATATATAAGTTACCTATATTACTCTAAAATTTTGTCAAAGTCCGTTCAGTAGTTTTTGCATAAAATAGTAGCAAACATTTATACTCATAAACGTTCGTGTTTATAATATGTATAAGACTTCTTAACTATTATTAAGAATATAGTAATAAATATGAAAGATTGTAAAGATGATTGTGTTTTTTTTATTCAATACGTATCTATTAGTGAACTTTGTTCATTCTACCAATTTCATAAGAGATCTGCGTATAGATCATCGATTGAGATATTTATATAGACTGAAGTTAGTACTAAGTAAAAGTAGTCAGTAAATACTGACTAGGTAGTTATTTTACTGTTTTTTGAGCAATGTCTACGAATTATTAGCGTAGTATTTATGCAGTAGGTAAGTTAGTTCGACCTCGTATGTATTATTTTGTATGTATAAATAATGAGTTAGTGTTTCAATATATTCATATTGTACGATACGTTGCAGGTGATGAAATAAATCTAGCATAACATGAAAATTCACAATTAAATTAATAAAATTATACAGATACGTAAATATGTATATTTTTCAAATTAGAATTCTAGAGCTTATAACATAAGTAAAAACGCCAACACAAGTACACACCTACCTTGACATCTCAAAGAGAAACCTGACACGCCGATACTTGGCTATGTATGTGTGGGTTACCATTTCGATATATGAAAAGTTACGACAAAACGACGGAAAGAGTTGCACGCTATGATGAATTACGTTGCGATAAGTAAAATTCATTATTATTTTCTATTTACATGTCAGCATAGGTGCGTACGAGGAGATAAACAATCTACTTTAACTTATTTCTATTACGTCGACATTTCATATAAATTAAATACAATTCGCAATAGTTCTGTAGGTGGAAAGCCTACTTAATAACTGAGATCTAAACCTAAATATGGTTTATAATATTTAAATATAAATAAAGTTTAATAAAAAAAAATATAAATAGTTTTAATATATAAATATAAAATTTAATATAATAATAAAGGCTAATTTTACTCATAATAAAAACCGTAATTCTAATATATGTAGGTATATTCTAGTTTACGATTCAAATTTTACTTTTACTATTTAAACGAAATGTTGCGATTGTGTACTTATCTATGGAAAACAACTGTAGGTCGTAAATGGGTTGTAATGGCTGATACAATTAATATCAATAAATTTGTATAACACTCGGTATTAAATCTTACGAATACGTAGATATTTGATGCGAAAAGTATAAGGCCTTTTGCATTTAGAGAAGGTATCAAAATTAAAGACTCAAACGTATTATTCTCAATGGAAGGCTATTAAATGAAATGGTAATGAAATCTGTGCTGACCTAAATTCATGAGTATGAGTTCAACACTGCTACAGGACAATGAAAACAAAGAAAACTCTCAATTTACTTTATCTAAGGAATGTAAGAATAATATAATAACTATGTATTTATAAGTATTTTCTATTTATTAACCATGGCCAAAACTATGTAATTTTGGTTAGGTGGTAGTTAAAATTAAAAAAAAAGTTAGTAGAGACGTACCTATAAAGGTAATTAAAATCCGAGAGACAAATATTATATCATTATATTAATCTTGTATATGAATTGCGATAAACTTTAATTATATCATGTTATAATACGTTGGTATAAATAGGCCACGTAGCAAAATACAGAACATAGACTTGGCATGCGGTTATTGTGCTCTGCAGTCGAATCTCGTGAGACTCAATTGGGTTCGGAAATGCGCAAATTGTCGTTCAGGGGCGCATTCGTCGCAGCGCTCTGCTAACATCGCGTATATTACACCCCTATATAGGGATGGCACAAGACAGTTATGCATTTAAATAAATGTTAGAATTGTTTCTGCAATAAATATTCTCAGGAAATCTATTTTGATTTAGTTGTTGCGTGACCTATTTCTGTACATATTATTTTTGCGTATAATATTTTTTTTTATAGATGACATACAGAGCCATATTTTGTCTTCCTTTTAAACACTGATCAATGTGCACAACATATGTATGATAATTTATGTTAAAATAGAAAAAACGATATCTGCTCTACTTACTGAAATGATTTTGAAAGATTATTTTTTATTACGTATTATAAAAATTGCATACTATACAAAGACAAAAAGATACTTAAAAATAATTATAATTTAAAAAACTTTGTGTACCAAAGTCGATAAAACTTTGCTCTTTTCTTATCATTATGGTAGATACGTATATTTTAATAAAAATACTTCTCTAGCTAATCATGAAGGCTTAGAGGAGTAGTCCCAACATTCAAATTAGATATACAATTTAGCCATATATTATATTAGTACTTTAGTATTTTCACAGCGTCTCTTGTAATTTTATTCAAACGTGCGGCAGCCCTATATAATAATATTGCCACTGCGAAAACGTGTGCGCACCGCACAGATATTGGCGCTTGCCTGCGGTGCGTAGCGAAGTTGCCAGAAATGTGGCCGGAGCCGTCGCAGCTCTCGACGGGACACTGGATGAGCTCCCTCGACTCCCGAATCCGGTAACTCAGTTTACCGAAAAAGTCGTCGCCGTTGAAGCTATATATAAATACATACATATTCATATAAAAAAACTCAATAAAAACAAAAGAAAACAATCGCACAATGAATGAAATAAGTATTTAGATTATATGAGCGACCTTAATTACCTATATGCCCACTCGTAGACATAGGTATTCCACAAAGTTGTATAGTATGCACTATTAATATCACGGTGATCTAAATAAAGAATAAACAAAGTTCTATCTATGGAAGATCGTTATCTACGCGTAGTAAGCAGTAAATGTTTACAAAATTATTGATATTATTACTCATTGTTGTTTACACGTCTTTAATATTCGAATGGAAAACTATTTCAAACTTTTATAAACTTTTGTTTCTCACCTGTTTCGCCGCATATCTATTTGCTTAGCGATATATAAGACACAAATAACACTATAACAACATTAAAAAATGTATATCTTATCGTTTAAAAAGTTTTATCTAACATGTTGTTAAATATACGCTTGGCGTTGAGCGCGCCTGCGCCCGCGCAGGTATATTTAGACTGATCCACTGAGTGTGACTGGAGCGCGTTCGAAAACATTCAATCATAATACATTATTCTGTAGCGTCTTTCTAACCTAATACTTTGAAACGGGCGCTTGAAATAATCACACGTGGCTTGGCCATTATTGTTGTAATATGAAATTAGTAATGGTAATAAACATATACATATTATGTAGAGGTTGGAATACGCTGATAAAACAATATTAATGTAACAAAAATACTGTTATTATAATTTTTTTATAATTAATCATACAGATAAGTATTTGTTAAATTATACAGAATTATTAGTCATTTGTTACAACATAACATAATAAATAAAGAATTAGTTTTGTTCTTTAAAGATGGAAATATTGTTGGTTATGAATATCACATGTTACTGAGCGCGTTTCCGAACGCATTACGCGCGAGAACTCTAGAGTCGAGAAGTGAATCAAAGTACGCTCGAGAAAGTGAAGTGAGTCGTAATTGGTTTAATTACGTCATAATCTCTGTTGTCATTAATTCTTTTTCGTTATTTTTATTTTGACAAAGACGTTCATAATATTTCTAGGTTGCTTTTGTTTTTTATTATAATACTGTTATACTAAAAGCAATAGAATATATTGTATTGCTTTTAGTGGTCATTTTCATTTACATAATGAACTCATTATATCTTTGTTAAGTAAAATTTTCAAACTTGCGTAGAAATTACTATATTGTTTAGTAGTAAAGTAAATATTAATACATTTAGCATGCTAAATGTCAAGTAGAAATTTGTGTCCAAATATTCTGAAGATTTTGTTAGTTCAGAAGACGGAATACTTTTTAAACGTTCACAAATATTGAAAATTATTTAGGTACAAATCGAAATTACTTTTGCAGCACATACTGTCCATAGTCTTCTAAAAGTTTATTTATAAAACTACGATAAACTATTTTACAGCATTGCCAGTACAAAATCTCAAAAATAAAGTTTTTAGTGCATTATGCATTTCATAAAGTAATGAAAATTAAAGAATAAATTATGAAAAGTATAATTGGATGAATCGTGTCTTAAAAATAAAATTAGGATTCATCATTATTACGTACAGTCAGTCATCTTTATTATTTACAGTATGTAGATTCTACGGCGATTGAGTGAAGTCAAATTTAAATAATGAAACGTAAATTAATATATTTACCAGAAAGAATAAAATTATCCGACAACCAAACTGTATAATATATACTGCAACTAAGATATATAATCACGCTGATCCTTTTACGCGATAAGTAGCAAAAACCAAGTGTCATTCGATATAATTCTTTGATAATTTAGATGGTATATAAGTATAATTAGATGGTACATAATGTTTAAAATAAAGTATCTTTAAATAAAAATGACATATAAATTCCTTGTAGGTCTAAATGTAACTTAATAATTACTTATAAATAAGTTAATACGTATGTAAATTCCTATTATAATGTATAATATAATATTAGATGGTTTAATCTCATAAAATATTTTTACATTGAAACCAGTTTTTATATAAAATTATTATTTTAAAGACAAATATATTTCAAAACAGATTCTAGAAATATTTTTATTATTTCTCAATTGAAGTAGCTAGACGAACTGGCCAAAAAAATAAGAGTTACGTAAGTAGCCGAAAGTCATATACATATGATTTATATTTTAGTGAGTATTTCATAATACATATATAAAACTACGTACGTACGTACGTACTAGTATAGTTAATTTAATAAAATTAAATTTAATGCAATATAATAAAATTGCTTGCAATTCAAATGTACGTTTCCAATTCCTTTGTTTGAGCTTGTCTGAGAAATCCGTTTATACTAGTGAATGGTTCCTAAAAGGGGACTATTCGCAAGGGGGCTGCTATAAAGACATTTTTTATAAGCTTACTTACTATTAAATAGTACATCTATTATACAAGATCAAGGATAGTCTGTCTCGAAGTTTCGACAATAATATAGGCAAGTTCATTATATTTAAACGTTATGTTACATAATGGAAACTAACGTGAATAAAATTTAGCAAGTTACAAATTACAGCTTACCAAAATCCACTTTCTTCTAACCAATTTTTAATATTTTTGTCGCATAGTTGACTTATATTGGAAAATAATAATAACCGCAGAACATATCCAAGTCCCAAGCTAAATAGAGACAAATGCTCTATATATAGTTATTAGACGACTAATATAAATATTTAGATATTTTTTTTTGTAAATACATACCCATTTAATATACATAGAAAACACTCAGATCAATACAAATATAGTAATGGATACATATGTTTGTACTATGCGAGGATTCGTACTCGCGATCAACGGAAGTATTCTAGAAATATTGCAGTTGAGAAAGACACAGGAAACGGTTTCTAACTCCTAACGAAATACCAAATTTAGTTAATTTTGTACGTATATTTAGTTTAGACTAACTAATCCATAGGGTCTGTTTCTAGTAGATATAATAACGTTATATTTAAATGAAATATCACATACTAAGATGAATTACTATTAAAAAACCGTGATATTCTTCCATTATTTCTTCGGTAGCGGGTGCGACTGGTCACTTTCCTGGACTTTTCATCTGTGAAAACTAGCTACTTTGTTCAATATCACAGTTGGTATATTCACCTGCTATCCTTAGGTTTGTCGTGTGGGGCATGCGGCGGCGGCATGTAACAGGGCGGTGAGTAGGGCGGCGCGTGCGGCGGGTACGCGGGCGGCGGGTACGCACCGCACTGGTATTGGTAACCTCCATAGCCCGCCGCTGCTGCTGCCGCTGCATAATCCGGTTGCCCAAGGCCGTAGCCCGCTACGGGGTGAGGACTGACGCCACCGTAACCTGGGTCCAAAGAGTAAAATATTGGAATTGTTTGGAAAAACACGTGGTGTCTTGGAGTTTGACCAGTTTTTGGAACATCTCTGAGAAAGTGATGAAAGCAATCACCTCATCATGTAGGAACTATGTGTATTTGCTTACTGTGGTTTGGTATACCCTTAAACATAAACTTCATTATCCAAAAACAGGAAAATGAACTATATAATGCTTTAACTAAGTTTGGACAGATTTTTTTTAATCATTCGACATCTATTAATACGCGTCATTCTAACTAATTCGTTAATTGTAGTTTGTGGGTATTATTTTTCATCAGTTGCCCTGTCAATTTATTTGCTGTTCCCATGAATACAAAAAAAAATACAGATAAATAGAATCTAAATGTTGTCAAATGTACATTCAATTTATATCTATCTTTCTTCTACATCTAAAACTTTAAGTACCACACTTGTAAAGACCTCAGGAATACACAGCTAACATAATATGTTTAAATTAAAGCTCTAAAATGCAGTAATACACGAAAACCTCATACCGTTAGAACCACCCGGTAGCCGTGAGCCGTTGTATTAGCAACGTTACTTCGGGTGCGTGTTGCGGTTCGCGGCGCACAGAGGGGAGTCATTACGCGGTTGCGTTTTAATTTGTACGACGTGTTTTACGATACCGCCGCGACGCGTCATATGTACAAGCCTTTACCCTTACACTGAGTACACTGAACATGTGATAGCTTATCTGGTTGATTATTTGTACGGGGAGCGGGTGAAGAATTCTTAAGTTACATTTTAATAATTAACGCTTTCATTATATTTAATTACTAATAGCTGTTACCCAGGGCATATTATCAATAAATTACACGTGCAATCCTCTAAATTTATAATCTAATAATAAGAAGACATTGAATAGAGATATACTGTAATAAGAAATATTACCGGCTGCGTCCCGGTGATAGGCTTCTAGGTATGGATGACTGCCACCGCTGTCTGGCGTTGATTCTCGACTGTAAGATACACCCCCGGGGAAACTGCGACTGTAGGATTAATAAAAATTTAGAACATCTCCACATAATTATGTACAGTTTCTACACAAAATATTAAGTCAATCATCATGCTTTAAATTCCTACGTTATATAATGCCTCACCTATGTGGTAAACGTGACACACTAAGGTCGAGGGTCTGGCCCTGCGGACTGGGCACCTGTGGACTGGCGGTGAGCTGGGGCGAAGCGCCCGGCTGTGGACTGCCTCGGGCTCCGCCCCCGCTGCCGCCACCGGCGCTCGTGTAAACCGGTGACGCATATGGACCCTGTTGTAAAAATTTACTTTTTATTTTCGGGACCAGGTTATGTAATAGAAATGGATTCACTTTTTAAATGTCTGTCATCTGTTTATAGGTTAAGTTATTTAAAAGAGGAAAGTCTTCATATCTCACCTGTGGACTACCACTAGACGTGGAGAGATCTATGGCTGGACGGGGATCTCTAGGATCTCTTGGCGTAGGGCTGCGCGGCCGTTGCGCTTGAGCCGCCGCTATCTTCACCGAGAGGTTGATGGCGGAGAAGCCAGGGGGCACACCGGGCCCCATTGCGCCGACGCTGCCCACTGCACCTACTCCGCTACTTGTTTCGTAGTGGTACATTGGTCTAGATGGACAGGATGGATCGTTGAAGATCTCACTGTACGCTATGAGGCTACTTAATATAAAATAATGACGACAAACTAAGCACCGTACTACTTACATAGCTGGTTTTGTAAGTAACAAATATGCCGTATGATCTTAAGAGTTATAAATATTCAACAAGGGTCTCGTTTACCACAATAGATAAGGCATTTTCTAAATTTAGCTTAGGCTAATGACATGGAGGTTTCGTAACATACCTAGGATAAATTGGTCCGGAACTGGCCTCCTGTTCGGACTGGTCTGTTTTCATTGGCGTGGGTAAGTGTGGGTCGTGGTACCGTTCTTCCTCCCAGCCATATGAGCGTTGTGGACATTGCGCTGGATCGTATCGCTCGAAGGCTGGAGCGCCTTCGTAGCATCGGGATTCATACCCGTATCGCGCTTCGTTCATTTGACTACGGAAAAGGAGGTAAAGGACTTGCAGGGGTTGATGTAACAGGCGAATGGAAGTTTTGACATAGTTTTGATAAGCCTCTATGTAATGTAAAAGACAGTTTTACACCTCCGAATGTGTTCCACACCAAATGTGTTTTGGCTGATGATGTAATTCTTATTTGTAATTTAAATGGAAGAAGTTTAAGAAATGTTTCCTTTAATAATAATAATAACACAGGACAATTCACACAGCGACAATTCTTTAAAACTTGCATTATGGGTACTAGACAACTGATAAAAATACTTAAGATACCTTTTTCAACACATAGATAACATACAGACAACAACATATAGATAATTTACAAACAATCATACTCCACAAATGTTGGCATCATGCGAGGAATCTAACCCGCAACCATTGGCAGTAAAGCGGTGTGCTAAATCGTTAGACTACCGAGGCCGTCTAACTTTTATCAACACCATTACTCTCTCTCAGTATTACTCCTATGTGTATAGAAATAAATGATATACCTGTAAGAGCGGACGTGGTCATCTAGTGGCCGCTCGTATGGTGATCTCTGGTCTGGCGGCGCGCCGTAGCCGGCGTGGCGCGTCTCCATCCCGGGAGAGTCGCGCTCGGGCTCGGCGGCCTCTCGCTTCGGGACCAGCAGCTCGGGCGCTTCTCGTTTCACCGCGGGACTACGCGGCGACGCCGCCTGCTCGCGTTCGCGGACGTTCACCGTTTGTTCGCTGGTTATTGTGATCGGAGTTTGTGGAGGCACTAGGTTAAAAAAATACAAACAATCATTTATGTATAAATGTTACCTTTATTTTAAAATAGAAGTTAACTTCTGTCAACATAGCTTGGTCATCATTTATCAACAAAGTACCAATCATTTTTACATAAGTATTGTATAACTATGTACAGAAGTTTAAAAGGTACATACAGTTTTTAAATCAATTTAAGTAATTTACTAGTTTTCATTACTAGTGTACATACATTCTCAATTAACTCTCGTCCTGCTTTGTCATTAATCGAAAATTTGGACACTGGAATTCAGACAATGTAATATAGTGAAGTTGGAGTTTTGACAATGTCGGTGGTCCAGCGGGGTCGATTTGGGATTCGATTCCTCGCACGGTACAAATATTGTATTCACGAGTATGAATGTTCATATTGGAGAGTGTGTTTGCTATGTATATTAATTATATTCTATGTATACATATTATTTAAGTATTTATATCGGTTGTTTAGTACAAATAACACAAACTCTGCTTGGCTTGAGACTCGATGGCGCTGTGTAAATTATCCCGTGGATCTTGAAACTCTGATCACTATGACATATTTATTTTTTTATTCAACTTACTATGTATTTAATTTATTCAATAATTTATTTTCAGACAAAACTTGACTTATAACTATAAAATTGGATGAAATTAGTTTAAAAGAGTAACAGGCAAGTTTCTTGCTCATTCTTCTTAGGAGAAATTAAATTAATATAAAAGAAATACAACTATTTAAAAGTGCTTAAAATTAAATTAATATGTAATCATTATTTTACCTGTGGGCCGGGCTCTTTGTGACCTGGCCGCTGCTTTCCTAGCAGCAGCCGTAGGGCAGCCGGAGAGCGAGCGGTGTGTGCTGCGGTTGGAGCTGACGTGACCGCGACCGTTGCACCCCGGCGTGGGGCACTTCAAGATCGTCTCGTGCAACGCCAATACTGAACGCATCATACAATAAACATTATAGTTTAACATCGAAAGAAACCTAAATCATTATATTAATACCTGAAGCAAAAACTTCGTACCCCTTTTAAGTATATTGCGCGGACGGAGGAGTTTTTACGAATATTAGGCGTATAAAATTGGTGTATAAAATTTCGTACACATACTTTGTATAGACAAGGAGTGCAGATTGCTAATATGTTATTTAAATTATGCATAAAAATATATTAAATGAATAAAAAAATAAGACACACTACCATGTATCAGACTATCTTTTGTTTAATTGTTATTGTTGGTTTAAAGTTGCATTTCGACCACTGGGCGACCACTAGTAAGCGTAAATGTGCCAATAGAAAAAATCTGACAATACAAACACTTTTCTATGGTCCCTTTTTATTCTATTACCACGTTCGGAATGCAGGTTCAACCAGGAACAGGTATGAAATATATTTGTACTGTAGTCCATAGTAATAAAAGTTGTACAACTTTACAGGATAAGGTTCTGTGTTAATATAACTACCATATAGCATTTAATCTAACTAATAAAATAAGAATATACGTAGGATACAAAATATTTAGAAACTGATTATTTAAATAAGTGCGAAATATATTAATTCAACACACAAATTGATTGTTCATAACTAAATAGATATCTCTACGTTGAATACATACAACATATAAGTTAAACACCATTTTAATGACTGTCAGTTTATTAGATTTTGTGACAAATATGAGTCCTTATGACTCATTTATTATTAATTATGGAACTATAAAGTAGTTCTATATTCACGTTAAATCACTTACAGAGCAGAGATACATAATTTAGTGCCAACAGTTAATTCATTTTTGTTGGCTCTGTCTACCCCATTCGAATCTAGACGTAATAAATAAAATTATACCTTGGATATACTTAGTGGTATCCAGTAAGTATATGCAAAGCTAAAAGCTAAAGCTATCTTCTATATTATATATAATAGGAGGAGGTAGTATTTCCCTACCGATACACATACAACAATACAGATAAACTGAAAATAAATAAAGAATGGCAAATAATTTAAATAATAAATTTGCGTGTAAAATGATAACTAAATACATAATGAACAATAATGAGCAACAATGAGAAGGTATAACGTTTTATAATTTCATTTACTCACTCTCCGGTGTGACTTTATCCTTTCTTGGGCATCCTGACAGACTAAAGGAACAAACAAGTTTGTAAGTATGAGTTTGAACGTTGAAGTTTCCTGACGCTATGTTTACATAGTATTATTACAATACATTCAATTTACTTATGAATGTATAGGCAGTAGAAATATTCAATTACTAATTGTAAGAAAGCAAAGCCATTGATAAGATAGATAAAATAAATTCATTATCATATGTCATCGATTATTTATCGTTTAAGGCTATTACTTCAGCATACATTAGTTTCACGTATTATGTAACTATACAAGTAGTTATTTACGTAGTCTAAAGTATTTTTAGTATTTCTTTTATTACTTATTCAGTTATTCTGTGTTCTACTCTCTTTCATGAAACTGAAAATAGACGCTTACTGACCTGATATTGTTAACTTTATACCACTAGGTTCGTTACGTGTATTAGACTATGAGTGTATGGGTCTCGTTAGTATTTCAGTTACCACTGCAATGCATGAGAGGCATCATAGACTCACCTCCTGTGATGCGTGTAAAGGCCGGTGACGTGGCCCTGCCCATTGCAACCGGGAGTGGGACACTTGTTGCCTTCTGTGAACAAATCGACCGGTGCACAAATTAGTATTTTCCTAATCATCGGGTGGGGGCGTGCGAGGCCGATCGATACGGGCGGGCGTGCCAGCGACGGGCGTACCTGCGCGGCCCCGCCCCGCACCCGCTGCGCCCCACCCCATCGTTAACTTCAAAGAAAAAATAAAGAACGCCAGGCGGCTGCGCGCGGACTCACAATTTTTCTTTCAGGAGCAGCGGGGCGGCGCTATTGCGCTCCGCCTACCGCCTGCTCTGACCCGTTTTTATTGCGCGTCACCCTGACATAAACCTAGCTATCGAGCAATACGAGGAAAACGGTTAGGTACCTTCTACATGATATCAACGTAGGTGGAGTCTAACCTTACTTTAACCTTCGCTGACTAAATTATGACAGACATTTTAGAAATGAGATGATTTGTTACCACCTTTGTTATAAGCTGGAAATTGTCCAAAGAAAGCAGGAGTAACTTGAATTCCAAAAGTATATTATATGACAATCACAGATATATAAGATCTACATAGACAGTTATCGCTTTATTGAAATAATACAAACTGAAATGTAACAGTCAAAGAACAATTGTATTGACATCGACCTAGCTATGTTATGAGATATCGCGGGACGACCTTGAAACAAACTTCAACTTAGTTCATAACGGAGCGAAGTTCCGTGTTATAGCCATGTCGTTAAGAAAGTTTGACTATCGCTGTCTGTGGTGAGTAAGACCGGTACCTCTGGCGACCGGTGGGGAGAGTGCGGCGAGAGGTCGTGAATCTCGCAATGGCTGGGCCGAAGGCACTGTCCGAGCTTCTTGAAGTGCTGTAGCAGCGCGTGACCCGGCTCCCGCTGGTTGTAGTACGGTGTATTGCTTTGAACCTTTATGAACTGAACTCTTTTCATGATCGTTGGAGTATCCTCCAAAAGGCTCACTTGGTAGTGTAACTCCGTGAATTCTATGTTTAACCTCGGCTGGTGGTTTAAAAGCAGATTGTGTAGAATACGGTAATGCTGCTGTGGCAGCTTTGTACGCATTGTACAATGATTGCTTATTTACAGAAACAATTTCGGTTTTTCGTTTCTGCTTAGAATCTCTTTCGTCGTCATATTTATCATCATTACGATCTGATATATCTATTTCTAAGTCATTGGAAGACGAATCGACGAGTTCATCGAAGTTTGGGGTGTCGTAATTATTAGAATGTTTATCATAATCTTCATTACTTCTCTCTCTCTCAGATCTCGGGGATTTTATAGTTCTTTCTTCATTATCACTGCAGGTACCGTTTGTGTTATGATCATCAGTTTGGAGATGTAAACTAAAACTTCTTTGTGAACCGTCAGCACTTTCGGAAGACGGCGAAGGGGAAGACGGTAGCATTTTATCAGAACATTTATCACTAAAAAGATTTTCAAAACCATTAGCATCATCATTGTCGTCGGCACTATTTGTGGAGCAGTGATCTCGAGGCCAACTGCCCGAAAGTGTGTTTAAAGCAGCTTGCGTCTCCAGGATGAGTGTTTCATCATCTTCTTCTGATTGTTTAGATGCTGGAGGCCTAAGGGGTGTGTGTATAAGACGGCGGCGGGCATCGAGTTCTTCGCGTCGTTCATCATCAAGGAGACGTCGTCTTCGCTTGCCCAATATTTCGTCTTCATCCATGGAGCCTTCGCTATCGGGGTGTTCGTATCGCCTGTTGTTCAGTCTGAACGTTTCAACATCCACGCCAAACTCCAACCTTCTTTTGTTAATGTGCGACAGCGACGACTGTGTGTTCAACGGCGCCGTCCTGTAACAAATGACGCCATCAGATGCATTTCCGGGTTATTTAAACATCAACATCAAATATTTATTGACATCAATGAAATAGAAATATGTATTGTACTTGCGATTCGATTTTCCATCCACAATCAAAATATTTTTACGCGGAAATGATTCTCGGCGTTTTAAATCGACGTCAACACTTTAGAAGCACTTGGTTGTTATGTTTAGATGCACAAAAATCGTTCCCACGTAAAAACCATTTCACTCAAGAGCTTTCAGACCAAGTAATTTTGACATTGGTGAAGGCATAGAGTAAATATTATCAAGTTATGGTGAATAATAAAAACAAAATTATTTTTTTTATTAATGTAATAAAGGTTAAATGATTTAAGAACATCCGTATATTTCGTAATAAAGTGGGTAAGTACGTAAGGCAAAAAGTATATATATAGACCAAATGAATTACTAAATATATAATTACTATCGCACCACGCATTTCTATAATTATTTCCTTAAGTATTTCTATTTTTATATTCTTTAAACTTAATATAGAATACAAAAAATTTAATAACAAACTTTTTTATAAACTTTTCCCGAGTTTTAAGACTTTAACTTTTTTGAATAACGTCAAAATTGATTACTTGCATTTTTTTATTGATACCTAATTAAAGCGTATTTCATTTATAATGTATGGAGGTTGTATATATTTTTATAATATTATTTAGTTCGTTAGAGCAATCAAGATTACATGATTAAACTTTTGTTAAACAATTTTAAGTAGTGCAGTTGTATCTTAATATACAATTACCCGAATATATATTTGAATTAAAATTAAAGTGATTAATGTACATTTGATTTTTAGGGAGATATATTTTGTAAAGATTAAATCATTTAGTTTATTTAGTCATTGATGATACCATCGTACCTACAATATTTCACCTTGCTCATCGTCACCTTCAGACAATATTTCTAAAAAATGGTATCTATAATATTGTATTTTCCTATTACTCAACGCTTGAGATTATTTTTGTCTATTTTTATATTTACTTCAAACTACATTTGAAATTTTCTTTCGTCGTTTTTTTCTTTTTTCATATAATAATACACAAGGTACAGCTAGTAATATATAAAAGAATATTGACCAACTGTATATATTGCTTTAATTCTCTGGCTTTTAATTTGTGGTGTCCTTCTTCATAATGTGTAATTATATTTTCGCCAAAAAATTATAAAGCCTCTTCAATTGCCATCAAAAAAAGATTATTGTTGCTTTTAATCGGACTATTCGATTAATACATACGTTTTTTTGGGATGATACATATCTCGAACATAGCATGAAATTCATATTTCAGATCTAACATATTTATCTAGAAATATTGTTCAAGTAAAATAGCATTACTCCGCAATAAATTCCAGAATGTATTGTACCTATTATTTCAAAATAGATGGTTGTAGGTCTAGCGATTTTCCATTCCTCCTTAATTCCGATGGTTGTAGGTTCGATTTCTTGCACGGTACAAACATTTGTATTTATGAGTATTATTGTTTGTATTAGTTTAGGTGTTTCCTATGTATATTATTTGATTTGATTGACAAAAAATGTATTTAAGATATTCTATAAATTGTTTAGTACCCACAACACAATCTCTCCTTAGTTTGGGACTAGATGACGCTATGTGAATTGGTTAAATATTCTCTAAAAAAAATTTTTCTCATTACTGAATTTTAGTTTATGCCAGCTCATCTTTCGATTTGTACTCTATTATGAGTACAAATTTATGTTTTATTTGTAAATCGATTGATAAAAATCAAAAACAATATGTCAAAGTAAAGCTTATTACAGTATATTAGTAAAACCATAACCTAACCTCAGAAACGACTTATTCTGAGACAAGCATTCAGTAACGCACAGGCTAACATAAAACAGAATTTTAACAACCTTTTAGTTCTTTTAATAAACTATCAAAGTCCAATAATATTTATATTATATATTTTTTAATATATTTTTTAAGTACGGTCAGCTATCTTTTTATTGCATGTCAGCGATATTTTTATTGCATGTATCTAAATACAATGGAATTAAATGAATTAGGTGCATTTAACTATAATAGAATTGCGGCATTACTACTTGTAAAGGTAACATATCCTTTACAAGTTTACAAGTTTTTTTAATGCGTACTTTCAATTGTTCAATGTAATGAAATATAAATTACAGAATAGCACTTATATTTTTCTTACTTTAAAAAAAGGGCTAGTATAATTTCCTCATAAGATGTTAGATTACTTTTATATATTACGTGAGGTAACACATTGACCTATCTTTATTTTTATAGCAAGATGCAAATACAACTAAACCTAACACTAACCACTTTTATTTTTAAAACTAAACAATTTTCATACATTGATATTAGCTAATCGCCGTAACATATAGCAGTTAAATTAGATTTATTGATCGGCAAGCTTCTCCTTCAAATCTGTGCAATATGCGTCTAACTTGGTCTTAGTAGTATCCAATCGATGGTCCTTGACGGAGATACCTACTAGGGAGCCACCGGAAGGCCGAAATATCGATAGTACCAAAATCCGCCAAACATTTACGTACGTGACGCAACCCCCTAGTCACTGTCGACGTTAAGCGAAATTACACGAAACGTGCACCGTTTTCGGATGTGGAATACGGGTCGTAACGCGCGTTACTATGTTCGGGACAACTTTTGTGTTAGCGTAGGGTAATTAGATAAACCCTGAGGGCGGTGGATGCTTAACCGGTTTAAACTAGTGCTCGTGTGGACCTTTATCAGCGGGTGGCGAGTGGCGGGTTATCTCTGGGCTGCGTTAATTGTAATGTCTGAAGATTAGGACGCGATATAAGGAGCACCGCGAGAATAAGCAGATGCGGGGGATTAACCAAGTATCCTGAGATGAGACGTGACTGTTTTGCATGATGGGAATGTTATTTAGAGTTATGAGTATCAGATACATTAAATGTTATGATATTTTATGAGTATTGTAAGTATCATAAATGTTTAGACTATGAATCGTGGCCGAGCGAAAAGTGGGAATGCAGTGTTACGTTCTTCACAACAGTACCTCTGATTACTCCATCTGAGATAATAGTCGTGACAATATATAATATATATGTTCATTATAGACCTCTTGCAAGCCGTATGAAGGTATATTATAATGTAATATAAAAAGACTTCTCCTAATAAACTGATTTAACTATAGTCGAAATCATTAGCTTTCCCACTACAAACTACACTATTAAGGAAAATTTTCTATAAATTCTGACATAAGTTTAGTAAATAGAAAGCTTATAAAATATTTAAGTGTAAGTGTAATATTCTCTAATATTAAAGGTCTAAATGTCGTGGTTAGGCCCATAATGACTAATCTGCATGTCGTCTCTTATAAATCATAATTATCAATAATTCCTTAAGACTGTGCATAATTCCTAAGAAATCAGAGTCAACGCGTAGAAGGCGCGGCGCAGACCCTTTCACTGCGGAGCAATAATAAACACGCGCGGGCCACCCGCAGCCCGACACTGCGGCACCCAAATTCAAATTGCACCTTAGAATTCTTAATTATTGAAATCATAAATCAAAAGGTGCCGTCTGCGGAACCGCCATAAAATTCTTGGCGAGGGTCGGCGAGCAAACTCGAGTGTGGTAGGATTAAGACATTATCACTTTTCTTTCGAGTAGTCGCGCCCTCACTTTGGCTTGGCTTGGCTCGACTGTAAATCAGCGGCTAAATCCTCTGGATTAGATTCATAGAGTTGCCGCTGCCTGCGGATCGCTCTCTAGCGATAATGGCGTCGTGTGCTCGCGTGATTTTGCTTTTAAATCGACTCTCGGAGAAGATAAATATACTTCCAATTTAGCTCCAGTCCCGAATTGAGTTCACCGTTTAAATGGATTTAGCGGGAAGTTAGTTGAAGTTTATAGCGAATAACAACTGACGGCTACTGATAACTGGACACCTAAGACGATGTAAAAGTTATTGAACAAAGCAGGGTGTCATAACTTATTTGATCTGTTGGATTAAAGAGGGCTTTAAAATGATTAAACACTTCTAAAGCAAATACAGCGAGTTGGAGATTAACGACAAGTTAACTTCTACTTGAAAAGAGAGATTATATACTAGAGTTTGTACCTACTTGCTGCTTGCAGTTTAATTTGTAAATATTCGGCGGCATATTGAGGAATTTCACCTGATCCATCAGGTCCACCTGATTGAAATATCAGTCATCTACCAACATAAACAGTATCACAGGTACCAAAGAATTCTATAAGTTTATAGTACTATTCCACTTTTTCGAGTTAGGTATTGTTTTTCCACAGTAACGTTATTTCATTATTATTATTATTATAAATGTAATGAAAAGAAATAACTACAATAGGACCTAGTAGTTGTCGACATCATTGGTATTTGTCACTGTTTTGGCGAACGTAACACTCGATGTGCCCACATTCCTATGACAGCCGGTTTAACAGGTAAAAGACTTACTAGTCGCCTCTCTGATTAATTTTGTTATCAGTGTTTTCATTACCGCTACTTCAATAAGACGATATGTAAAAATGTTAAACTTAAGTTTTTAGGGGTTCTAATATTTAATTACGCTTCGTATTCAAAGAATACAGTTTGTGTAATACAGCAAACGAGATGGCAGTTTTTACTGTACATTATGTCTGAGCAAATATTACGATATACAATCTTGCTGTGGTGGAATTAAATTTCCTGACAGAGAAGACATCCGTCCAGACATCTACAAATTAAGTTCTATGTAACTTGTTACTTCAATGAAATAAAAATCTTGATATCTTGATCATCGCCCTATACTCTATTAGAAATAAGAGGATTGTTTGAGAAGGAGGAGATTAAGGAGGAGGAGAAGGAAAGAAATCACTGCAGAACCTTTTAATGAGTTTCAACTAAATAGCAATAATACATATGTAAAGCGTTCTGTATCTTAAGACTTGTGTTATATATAATATCACCAAAGTTTGAATTAAAATATGT